TGACCCCTCCCCGGTGAGCAGTTCTTGGCTGCCCTGTCCCGGGGCGATTCCACCATCACTGCACATGAACCCGGCCGTGCCCATTGCTGGGTGGGGGGCTGCCCCTCTCTGCCGTGTGCGGCAGCGCTGTGGGGTGGATTCTCTGATTCTGATGCTGCCTGAGTGGCCCCCAGCACCCGAGTCCTCTCTGCCTCTCCTGTCACACCATCAGGGAAGACCTGGTGCTCTTGCTCCCCTCCTTCATGTCCTGCTCCTGTCCCCCAGCCTCTCCCTGGGGAGCAGTTGAGTGCTCTCCCTTTCCTCTTCGTGTGGGGAAGGTCCTATGGTCTGTCCTACATTTTTCTTCCCAGCTGGGAAGCTCTGATGCTCCTCTCATGGAGCTCTCACACCCTTCTGGTGTCCAGGGCAATCTGCACATTCAGCAAAAACGAGATCAACTCCCCTCAGGCCATTTCTGTGCTGGTACTGGGAGTGCTAATGCCCCGTGCTGGCAAAGGGCTACCCAGGTGACACAGCAGTTAGCCCAGAGGAGCAGAGTACTCCAGTAAATGTTATATCCCTGCTGCAAAGAGGAGTGCTTGCAGGAGCTCACAGACTGGCCTCCATCCTGTGCTGGAGATCCAGAAGCTGTCTGGTGGCAGCTGGAGTGTCCGTGGTGGCTGTTCCTGCTCCAACTTGTTTAGCTTGTTGCACTTTTTAATAGCAATTTCTCCATCTTTTCGTTGTTCAGCTTCCAGCTCCTTCCATTAATTTTCCTTTGCTGCCTCTTCAGTTACCGCTTGGTAATTTATCATAACTTACACTTCTGTGTGTTTTAATTAACACTGGGGGTGGTTTTTTTCAGCCAGTTGTGTGGTTTGTGTATCGTATTCTCCAAAGCACATGTTTTCTTTTTGACAGCTTATTGGGAATGAGAGTAAACAATGTTTATGATGTGGATAATAAGACGTATCTTATCCGCCTTCAAAAGTAAGAACTTAAAATTTCTTTCTTTATTTAAATGTGTTTCTTTATTTAAATTCCTTTATGCTGTTACTACACATATGAGAACTGGATTTTGTTGTGTGTATGTAATTTCTATTGATAGGTGTTTGGCTTTTCTGACTAGTTTTCAATGAATTTCTATTGCTCTTTGATAAAATGCAGTAATTTTTACCCAGGAAATTCTTGGGAGGTAACACATGAAGTGTGAAATACTAAAGAAAATATACAAAAGGCCAAAGATGTTTGTGTACAAACACAGAGCTGTCATTGTTTCTTCTTTGTGGGGAGGGAAGAGAGGAGCTGGAGGAATGAAGAGCAACGCTTAGTAAGTGATAAAGGTGCCCAGGTCAAATGGGAGGTAGGGCTTGTGTCATGTCACTGACTTGTCCCCTCCCGTGGTGTCTGATACAGGCCCTTGCTCATCTATTTGCCTCTATTTGTGTTGGAGACTTTTTAATTCCCTTGCTTGCCAAGTATTTTGCTCAGACAAATTATCTGTAAACTTAAAAAAAGTGGATGTCCTTTCACTGTCAGCAGCATTATTGGATGGGCGTTACCAGTTTTGGCAGCAGAGTTTTCTGTACATATTGTGCTGCAGATCTGTGGTGCTTTGGTCTCATTCCAGTGCACACTGGTGTGTGGTGAGGGGTGGCTGCTCGTCTGCCAAGTCATGAGTCTTTTGTGTTGTTAACAGACCAGACTGCAAGGCCACGCTGCTGCTGGAGTCGGGTATACGCATCCACACGACCGAGTTCGAGTGGCCAAAGAACATGATGCCATCTGGCTTTGCAATGAAGGTAAAGTAACCTGTGGGTTCTTTTTAATAAGATGACTGGGTGTCAGAAAGCAAGGTTTGTGATCTGTCCTTGGAGTCAGCAGTAGGGGGAGGATTTGAGGTGGAAGGAAATAGGGGGAGGATTTGAGGTGGAAGGAAATAGGGGGAGGATTTGAGGTGGAAGGAAATAGGGGGAGGATTTGAGGTGGAAGGAAATAGGGGGAGGATTTGAGGTGGAAGGAAATAGGGGGAGGATTTGAGGTGGAAGGAAATAGGGGGAGGATTTGAGGTGGAAGGAAATAGGGGGAGGATTTGAGGTGGAAGGAAACAGTGGGAGGATTTCATAGAATCACAGACTGGTTTGGGTTGGAAGGGACCTTAAAGCTCATCCAGTTCCAACCCCCCTGCCAGCAGCAGGGACACCTTCCACTAGACCAGGTTGCTCAAAGCCTCATCCAGCCTGGCCTTCAACACTTCCAGGGAGGAGCAGCCACAACTTCCTTGGGCAACCTGGGACACTGTCTGACCACCCTCACATTTGAGATGGAAGAAAATAGTGGAAGGATTTGCTTGGTGCATCCTGATCAAGCAGGTGACTGAAGACAAGGGAAGAGCAAATATGGTCCTGGGGTCATGTTGTTCAGTGCCTGAAACAATGAAAATTTAAATTTATGAAGACTAATATTAATCTGCTGGACATTTTCTGGGCCACCCAGACCTTTTGAAATTTTACTCCAGCAAAGTCCTTGTCATTCCAGTTGGATTGTCCAAATTTTTAGCAGTTCCCTGCTGTTCAGTCTGCTGGACTCCAAGGGTTCAGACCTTGCTGCAAGCTGTCAGGCATCCTTCCTGCAGGCAGGTCTGTGGGGATGTGACCCGAGTGCTGACTCACACGGGTCTGCTTAGCCCACCACCTCTGGATGTGGTCTCATTGAAATGACTCGGCAGAGTTTCTCCAGGGTGGCTTTCCATGTCATATATCCCAGGCTGGATGAGGCTTTGAGCAACCTGGTCTAGTGGAAGGTGTCCCTGCTGCTGGCAGGGGGGTTGGGACTGGATGAGCTTTAAGGTCCCTTCCAACCCAAACCAGTCTGTGATTCTGTATGGATGCAGGGAGAATCTCACTTCTCTTTGTAAAATAAACCCTGTGAATTTTAACTAGCTGCTCACTTGTTGAGTTAAACAAATAGCAGTTTTTTAATGGCAAAAATAGCTTAATGTTAAGAATCTGGAACAATTGCATTATCTATAAATATCAAAGTATTTTTTTGCCAAGTCCTGTCTGTTATCACAATCAGCTTTTTTTTTACCCTTACGGTATTTGTATTAAGTAAGAAGTGATCAGTGTCACAGGAGGAATCTTATTTCAGTATAGAGTGTCACAAGCAGGTCTGTTTGCATCATCTCACAGACATTTTTCTCTGTTATTGACAGTGCCGTAAGCATTTGAAGACCAGAAGACTTGTCAGTGTAGAGCAGCTGGGTATCGACAGGATCGTGGACTTCCAGTTCGGAAGCGATGAAGCCGCTTATCACCTGATCGTGGAGCTGTACGACAGGGTGAGTGCACAGCTCTCAGCCTCTCCTCTGTGAGCCAGCACGTGAGTGTGAGCTCTGCTGATGTTTCCCCCGTGGTGTGCTCGCAGGGTAACATTGTCCTGACAGACCATGAGTACCTCATTTTAAACATCCTGAGGTTTCGCACGGATGAAGCGGATGATGTCAGGTTTGCGGTTCGGGAGCGATACCCGGTGGACAGCGCGAAAGCAGCTGCACCTCTGCCAACCTTAGAAAGGTAATTGCTTTTAGATGGTGTATGTATTGAAATCATAGAATCATGGAATGGTTTGGG